GACCCCTTAGTTGGGTGTCTATTCTGTCCGTTTTCCCTCTTCTTCAACACGTAAGAATGTGTGCGAGACACTTCAGAACGAAGAATCATTTATCTAACGATCAATTGACGCTAAGCTTTTAGTCATAAAATAATCTCATGCTTTAGCTTTACCGTGGGCGATGTAGACAGAGGTTGTTTTCCCTGAGTCGTTTCTCAGACGAAGGGCGAAATAAAGGCTATGTTTCCCGTCCGGATACACTTCTGGCTAAAAATTAATAGTTTACAATTATATACTATTTCAACGCATCACTGAAGTTCGCAAAGATTTTCGCTGAAGCATTCGAAGATCGCACAAAACGAGAATCCGCATAATTCAGATAAAGGATAAAAGTAACAGGAAAAGACAAAAATTAGACATGTAATATGAGATAAGAGTTTCACACCGTCACTTGATTCATGTTTCAAAAATTAAAATATGGACTATAGCAATATACCAAAAGTAAGGCTATACTAATGATGCCCCTTATATTGAACAGCATGCCGACACAGATATAAGGCAGCAAAAAGTAGTTAGTTGCCATAGCGATTTTGACCCAGGGAAAATTCAACGTTATTAAGAGAGATCAGGGAAAGTCAGTTATGGCAAACTTTAGGTACACATACGACAACAAAACATACTGACTCTGATTGCATCCTGAAAGTCTTTGTGACGTTACAGCTTCACACTTGAAGAATCTGGTAACATCAGCTAAGGCCTTGTGTCGTCGTCATCAAGTTTTGGATCGTATGTATTATTAATAAATTCTCAATACATTTGTCAATTAGATGTGCAGCTTGAGCAAACATATTACAGTAGCGCTGACGGACCAGACTAAGAGCTATGGGAAGCAGTAAGAGATATGTTACCGCTGAAAATTTTGCGAGGCATATTATCAAGAGATCGAAATAACGACGAACGTTGGTCAAGACTCTCTACGTGTTTATACTCCAGAATACATCAAATGGCGCAGGACTGTTTCGAGTCCATGGTTGCCTCTTTGAGTCAACTACGTGTAAGGTAGCGGGGTAAAATACAGGGAAATATTATCATACGGGATCTCTGCACAATTTATTGGAAACAATGCTAACAAATCTGACGTCAGAAGCTATTTTTAAACCATTGAAGCAGTATGTGATTCTTGACCAGACAATCCTTCACTCATCGCTTAGAACATCAAGTGCAAACGAGATTCAAAATTTTTTCTGTCGGTCAGATGGTTATAAAATGTTAAAGACAAATGCTTGAGTTTATTTGAGCTGCTTTCCTAATATAAATTTGCATTTTGATCATTGGAAAAGGAATTTTTTCTTTAAATCCGTGTTTTTGTTCGATTGTCACTTTCTAGCTGTACCTGAATTGAATTATTGTATTAGTCAGTTATAATACCAAAATGATATCGCGCTGTCAGTCTGTTTGAAATCGCATAAAATACATTTAGACTTAATCTTGAGGACCGATGTCCAAACCATTGAAAACATCCTGGGAATCATGCCAGGTTGGTAAGGAGCTTTTTACCCTTGAAAAGGCGAATGATGCAGCTGAAAAAGGAGGCTATGCACTATATCCCGAGAAAGAAAGCTGACGTCAAATCAGCGCCTTAGGTTCCCCCATAATCCGTCGACCGGACCGATTATGACAGAAAGAGAGAAATCGTAGAAAGGTTGTTTTCAGTTTCAGTACGTAATCACAGTTCTGAAGTAGATATCAGACATCAAACAACAGTAAGATATATCTTCATGGAAATCAGGGAGAGAAAAATGCAACGGCGGGACGTATACGGAGTTTCTTTGCTAGAGTACTAGTGGCAGCTGCAATAGTCAAATGGTACCACTGTATTTGTTTAAGTGCGTTGCAATGCCTTTCAAGATATTAGGATTATTTTTTGCTGGCTTAGAAATACCTATGGGAAAGAGGAAGTCACCAATTGCTGATGAATGGAGGAACTATTTTGCCCGGAGCAATCTAAGGAACTGTGGAATACTGGTGGATGATAAAAACAAACTTTCCTTTTCAGGAAGAGGTCTGTAAATGGTCAGCACTTAGTTCCTGTTTGCTTTAGATTTTCAGACGGAGAAACAACTGTTGGAAACATATTTTCGTGCTAGACTAAAATCCGTATTACAAAGAAGTATTTTTTGCAGTGCAGGTGCCATTACAAAGTCCACCTGTAAGCCGATTCACTGTATTCAATGAATACGTTCGGCGAATCGGTTGTAATTTTTGGTTATGGCCACGAAATGAAGGGTGTGAGATGAGGCAACTAACTCTGAGCAAAACTAATAGTTTCTTACTCACTATTCGAAATTATGAAGGAGAAACATAGCGATTAGAATAACTTTCATTGCAGTTCCCGCCACTGTCGTTTCTGTTGAACGACTACCTAAACATCGTCAAATTGTTAGTGGTATCCCTGTCCAGAATTTGCTTGAAATGTTTTATGCTCTGGGTAAACTCAGAGGGTGATCGTCTTACTGCCATAAAGCCACTTGATTGCAGCCTGCAAAGATTACTGCCGCTGCGTAGGTGTATTGTGGTAGAATGCATGAATATACAAATTCCTTAATCGCGAACTCTCGGACCATGCAACCAACTTAGCCTTTTCGTACAGAACGCTGTTCTGCAACAACCCACCAGTAGCTAAAATGTTGATGTCAGGAAAAATCAGACGACAGAGTGACTCCGAAGTACTTGATGTGCTGATTGTGAGTTATTGCCTGGCCAGCAATGTCCACCGTTGACAGATCCAGGAGAGCCTTGTTTCGCATGTTGCGTGTCAATACGGATCCGTTCCTTGCTTTCGCGTGGATTAAGGACGAGCTCATTACAGGTGAAAGAATAGTAAATGGCAAATATTCGGTTCATGCAAGCATACGTCCGTATGGAACTCAAAATGACAGTGTCAGACGGAAAATAAAAAACTGTCTCAATGACAGACAGTAAAATAGCGGTATACCCCGCTCCAGTAATTTTGATAGAAGGGCACACATTGAAACGTTATGCAAACTGCTCTCATGTAATGCTACCTTCTTCATAAGTAAATAAAGTTTAAACGATATAACTTGGGCATTTTTGTTAGAAAATATTTATTTCGTGCAAAAGCGACATTTAATTTTATCCAAAGGGAAGGCAATCGAATAATACGCAATATTACATTAAAATCACAGTTCTTCCTCAGACCGAAGTACTTTTGGACAGGCTTCGTAAAAAGTGTAGACGCGAAAAATCCTTACCAAATTACTTTAATGCTTTGGAATGCAACAATTCATCTGAAATACGTGCATTTCCAATAATATACTATGAGAGCCCTGAAGTCGGATCACAGATCGTCAGAAAACAATAATATTGAAGACAGCGAGATGATGAATGTAGTTCAGGTGCTACATCAGATAAACAACGACTTAATAAAATGGGGTCGTAGAGGACCCCCCGATATGTGCTTCCAAAATTTGAGTATAATCTCTTACCCTGAGCATTTGAAACAAAATATGGTTCTTTCATTAATTTTTATAAAAAGCATGGCTGCGCTTGCTGCGTAACCTCTACAGCGCCGCAACATTTGATGAATTCGTGAGAACCATACACTCTCATCGTACACTTAAAAGTCATGTTACACTTGGATGCAGTCAGTGTCGTCCGCAAGGAAACTAACTTGCAGAATAGAAAGATCTTAGAAGCAATGTAGCAAGCAAGATCAGCAGGCAGGTAGAAACGTAGAAGATCAGTCCGGCACGGCTTCTTGCGTGACATTAGCAAATTGTCAATAAGTGTATATTTCTTAAACTTCCGTGGGTAGATCCTTCTAACACATCACCATACGATACCAATCTTGCTTCCATACATAGAACATCAAAACCGAATTAGAAACAGCAGTGACCAGGGAACCTAAACAAAGCGCGTTATCCAAAAAATATCGAAACAACTACACTCATATCTGATCTTACTTACATGAGCCGTTTTACTTAGAGATGCAAGATCGCGACGTTCTTGCTCATGACTTAGCAAAGGTTGCACATTCCAAGATTCCGGACAAAACTAGATAACCGATTAAATCTATTTAGGCAAAGTGATATTAGCAAAATTAAATCGAAACCAATGCCTGGTAACATTGAAAGTTGTCATGAAGAACATGCGGCACTTCTATCCCATCATTAACTAATTTAATCCCAGGGAATTGCCGACAAAGAGAATGCACCTAACATAAAAGTATCTAACATAAAACTGATAAAGAGATAGAAGTCAATAAGTGCATACGGCTTAAAAATGCGCGTGTTTCCTGTTAAAAACTTATTACGATAATTTTGCAATCCCACCTTTATGCCAAATCATTCGAAAGCATCAAGAACATCAATTTGCACAGAACCAGAGCAGAGCTCATCATTCAAAATACGAGATGGAAACTTCTCCTAATTTGACTCTGTTCACAGCTCGCTACTTTGAGGTGCAAGATCGCTGCGGATCTTGCTCCGGATTTAACAGCGGTTGCACAGACATTAAGCCGTGACAGAACTATTTATTTAGTTAGAAATAAAAGATCTATTCAGATATATCATTCGTAAATTTCAATTCAGAAAAAGTTCAGAAATCCATCTGAAACTTCTTTTGGAGAACTCCTACTGGCCTAGAAGGTTTTCAACCATTGTCATTTTTAATGTTGATTTAACTAACAAATGTATCCGTGAATAGAATTTATGCAAAATTTGATTAGCGAACGTCAATCACCGTTTTAAAAATTTCATTTAATTACCATTGAAATGTATCGATTCATGAACCCCACAATATATAGTCCCAGTCTATTACAAAAGTAGGGGCGTGGACGACATTTTCAATATTCTAATATTGTCAATTGCATCGCCCTTTCAACTTAAAAAGTAATTTTCCGTTATTTACCATTTCCTTGTATTAATACCTAAGCATCACACTTTGTAGTCAGTGTGCAAAAATGAGAATTTGTTGAATATTAAGCTACATACGGGTGTATGAAAATATGTGGCCGTCTTTTCCAATATTTTTTCTCATCCATACGATAAATTTCTAAGACAGACAATAGGTGAGCTTGGTTCCGGTTTACGTTTCGGCTCATTGTTTTGGGCAGTACTTTTCCAAATTTAACGGTGGGATAATCCTCCAGCTGAGACTCATGTTTGGAACTTTTGCAGAATCAGTTACTGTTTTGCGAAATGTTGCGATCATTGTGTTTCCTTGATAGCGGCACTCTGCGATCCTTTGTTTCAAAGCAAATTCTTTGCTTATGCTCGACAAGGTCTTTGATTTTCGAGAAAACGTATCAGCAGAAGATTATCGAGGAAAGCCGGCTACGATCAAAATCGTTTTACGAACCAGTCTTGGTAAGTTGACCGGTAGAATGTGACTGTGAATGTTATGGCGCAATGGCCTGCTGAGGAATTTCTCTTCACAGTTTTGAGTGTTGTTTCCTGTTTGTTTATTTCTACTTTTATTTATTTATTTGTTATTTGATTCATGCATAGTTATTTTTTCTCTGATCGTGTAGGAGGTCTGTTCGACGATCTTTTTATAGCACTCCAGTTTTACTGAGCTCACCGTTCACTTTCAATTTCAACATGGCATTTTTAGAAGAAGGAGGTTGGACCGCCGTCGTGGCAACGGGTGAATATTCGTTTACGTGGTTACGACTTCGTTGTTTTGGAGCGCTACCAAAGTTACGTCCATAAATTGGCTCGAAACATGGGTTTCAAAGTTATATCAGCGTAGGTATTTTCTTTTAATGTT